GGCATAGAGAATAACAATAAAATGAGTGCCTGTGCATTCACCATCAGGCTAAGAAATGGAGCATCCCCAGTACATTACAGCCATCGTGTGCCCGCCCCGCCACATCTCCTGCCCCCACCCAGGTCGGGTCAACACCCTCTTGAGTCCTGTGTGTATCATCGCCTTGCTTGACTTTAACGTTTCACCACAATTGTAGGTATTTCTGAGCAATCTATGGTCTAGTTGTACAAGTTTTTTAACTTTGGGGAAATGGAACCATACCATATGCATTTTCCTGCAGCTTGATTTTTTATGTTCAACATTATGTTTGTGGAATTCACCTGTGCTGACATGTGTAGCTGTGGTCCACTCACCTCCACTGACCCCGTTACAGTAATACCCTCCCAGGTATTATCATTCTCTGACAATAGAAGTGTGGGCTGTCCCCAGTGTTCGGCTGTTACAAGCAGCGCTGTGACAGTCATTCTAGATTCATCTCCTTGTGCACACATGCAAGTGCTCTTCCAAAGCAAATTCCTAAGAGAAACTGCTGGGTGGTGGGGTCTACACACATTTTGATATTGTCAAATGGGCTTTTAATAAGAGAGGCACAGAATCTCCTGTGCCCTGGGGATTCTAATAGTTGACATAATGTTCATCTGTTTAGGAGGGGATGTGTAGTACACTCCCTGCCCACACACAGGTGCATGCACATGCGCACACACATACACACTGACTCATTCATTTGTCTGTTCAGTAAACATTTGTCATGTAGCCATTATCATTAATTACATAACACGCCATCAATATAACAATGAGTAAATGAACCCTCCTGTTTATAAGACACAGACCCACTTCGGAAACACTGGAATGTGCCTGTGAGCCTCTCAGAATCCAGGGCGATGTGGTCTGTTCAGGGAACTAAAAATCCTGCCCTTAAGGAGCTTACAGATTGCAGCCATTTGTTTCTAAACAATGATGCCAGGATGCAGAATGTGACCAGAACAGATACAAAGTGCTTGAAAGGCTCGCGAGCCAGCCCAGAGTATGGTCCATCAGGGCCCTGCAGTGTCGGCGCTGCCTGGGAACGGTGAGAAATGCAGACTCTCAGGCCCCAGCCCAGGCCCCAAGTCAGAATCTGGCTTAACATGACCCCCAGCTGATTCCTGTGCTCATTACAATCCAGAAGCACTGCATGGGAGCTCTGGGAGGGAAAGTGTCTTTCTTGCTAAGGGCAATCAAGAAAGACCTCCTGAAAGAGGTGTCATTTGAAAAAGAAAGAGAAGGGAGAACTACATTCATTGAGTGCCTGCTCTGGGTTAGGAATACACTAGGGGCCTTCACTTCTGTCATCCCACTGAGTCCTCAGAATCACCTCGCAGGACAGAGATTAATATCCCTTTCTTACAGCTGAGGAATCTGAGGCACAGACAGGTCACATAACTTGCTCATAGCCACACAGCAGATAGCTAGCAGAGCCAGGCTTAGAAGCCAGATGTTTCTGAGTCTGAGCACAATCTCTTCCCCTGCATCACATGGAGGGAACTAAAGAAGTAGCTACGGAGACAAGAATGAGGACAGGATACTACCGTATGAGCAAGTACTCACTGTGGGGTCAGGACTTCTGCGGGTGAGAGCTCGGGGCAAATGGAAAGGGCACACTTAGGGGAATGAAGAAGGCAGCCACAACAGGCTTCTTACCCCATTCTAACCCCACCCAGTGTCTGCACAGGCTCTAGCACATAGTAGGCATTCAAAACAATCCGGTGAATGGATGGATGAGCAAATGAACAATAGGCAAATGAGTGAACCGCATAGGCTGTTGTTTCAAACCCTGCAGTGTCAGCACTGTCTGGGAGCTTGTGAGAAATGCAGACTTGTGCCAGCACTGTGCCAGGGGGCTGGCGTTCCAGGAGGGACGAGCCAGGCATCGCTCACCAGCTCAGGGTCTCCTGAATCCCTGCCATCAGGGAGGGCCCTGCCAGCAAAGCAAAGAGCTAGGAGTAGCAAAGGTTTAAAACACAGAGAAAGCAGCTCCCACCAAACCCTTCATTTGCTTCACTTAAAAAAATTACTGAGCCAGCCTCCATCTCACGCCTCAGCCCTCCACCAGAGCCCCGCCACCCGCTGCTCCCATGCTGTTCCTACAACTCCTCAAGAAAAGTGGAAAACAGAACAGCTCCGTGCAGCCCCTAATGACCAGGTTTATGAAGAGCTTATTGAATTCAAAGACATGAGGCAGCAGTTGGTGTTGTGAGATATTAATGTGCTTTTTACAAAGCTGATGAAACCTCCTCTTAAACTACTTAATACCTGCAAGCTGAAATTTCCAGTGTGAGCCGGTCAATTCCTGGAGGCAGAGCTGCGGCAGCCGCAGGCACAGCCCGTGGCCTTTCTGTTCTGACTTGGCCTGAAGTCTCGCGGCTCTGGGGTTGGTGCAGTATTGCTGCCCTTCTGGGGTCGGGGTTCAGCAGAGACTTTTGTGCTTATTGGGCCCCTAGTTCATGGTGGGAGAGTCTCTCCTCACTCTCTCATCTTCCAAAAGCTCAAAGCCAATGTCTGTCGGGGGAGTGAGCAGTTCAGCCTGGACCACAGGCCCCTGCAGGATCTGGCCCCTGTCCCCTCTCTAGCCACCTCCTGCCCTCCCCTCGCCCACCCTGCACTCTAAGTGGAAGCCATGTTTTTGGAACTCTCCAATCCCACTAGGATGTCATGTCTTTACACCAGCCGACCCCTCACAAGGGACAGCCCTTCATCCAGTGGTGTGCTGGTAGATGTCTAACAACTGGCTCTCTGGGGACTTTGAGTTGTACTATTTGCCAATTCCCACGGTGCAAATACTCCCACCGTGGCTGACTTCAAGCTTCTAATGTCAGTTAGGAAAAGACACCAACCATCGGCTCCCATGAGCCGGTACAGGCCAGCTCCAGCATCCACTACCTTCAGGCTTCCTCATGACCCTGACTCTGCTTTGGGGAACTTTCTCTGACACACACACACACACACACACACACACACACACACACACCGAGTCTGTTCCTCCTGTGTGCCCAGCACTTCCCTGACTTTGCTCTTGCTGGTCCCTCTTCCTAGAATCCCTTCTCACCCTCCACTATTTCCTCACCACACCCCAACACACACACACACACACCCCAACCTGCTTTTCCTAGCTAACTCCTTTTCCACCTTCGGCACCTTCTGTAGCAGCTCAGCCACCCCCCCGCCTCAGGAGGCCTGTGTCAACACCCACACACTCACACACTCACATATGCACCTACTGTGTGCACCCAGACAGGCCCTGCTCTGTCACAACACATATCCTGCTACACCACAGCATCTGCCTTCTGTCCCCCACCATAGACTGCAAGTTCTATGGGACAGAAAGCATATTTTTCCCTGTTTTCAGCAGGTTGCACGGAGAGTGTACATACAGTCAGCATTCCATAAATGTTAGCTGAACAACTCTGCTCCCATAAGGCTTGCACATCCCTCTAACACAGTATGTGAGACATTACATTCTAGTAAATTATATTACACCCCGAACGTTCTGTCTTTCCCTCAAGACTGTGTCCCTGAAGGGAAGGGGTCAGGTAGATTTCCCTCCACCACCCCCAGACCAGGCACTTAGCCCTTGGTCTCCTTTTGGGGAGAGAGCCTGCTTGAGAATGAAGCCAACTGGGAGGAAAGCCAACACCAGATTTTTTGAGCACCTGGATCCATCTGTGCCTGAAGCCATACAACCCCTGGGCTTGATGACCACCAGTCTAAAGGAAGTACAGCAGAACTCTAGGCTGGCATCAGGAAAACAAGAGTACACCGCTCTCCACTGACTGTAGTGATGTCTATTGACAGGAAGGTTCTACCAAATTTAAATTCCACCAAAGGTGATTGAGTGACACTGGTACCACCTCCCTTCATGAGCCTCATCATCACATTAGTCAGACTGAGTCCAGGGCCACAGAGTCCAAGTGCTCCTGGAGATCCCACTACATCCGGCCAACCCTCACAGCCTCATTGCCACCGTCAGCCTCAGAGACCATTGAGACCAATCCCATTATGGCCTGGGACCCAGGTGACCTCAGTCGTTCTCACTACTAATCATCTGTCCCTCAGCACTCTGTTCATCCCCTAATCTGACCCATCTGCAACCTCCCCAGCCTCCCAAGTTCTTGCCCTGGGCTCTTTGGAATTTTGTCCCAATGTCAGCAGAATCACCCATACTCTCAACTTCTCTTCTTGCTCTGACGGAAGCCTGGCTCTCTCCCCTGCAACCGCTTATGTGGGGGTGTTTCTTGGCCCACACTCCTGCTCCTCACTGCTATTTCCAGACCATTCCTCAGCCTCCTTCCCAAACTCCCTGCCTCTCTGAAAAATATCCTGGCTATCTCTGTCTGAAGTCCTAAGCCACCATTCACTCCTGGCACACCTTGTTCTGTGGGAAGGTAGTACCACCTGCCTCATTCTCCAAGGCACTCCTGTAGGCAGTCCTCTTAGAGATTTCACAGTCAGGCAGACAGTCCCCCCAGCACACAGCCGTGCTTCCCGCCTCAGCCAGCAGATACTAGTCCTGCATTGCTGGTCTGGTCACTGGTCCTTAAATACTGAAATCCTACATATTACACCGATCAGCCCCAAGAAGTCTAGGGAAGAGGCTGGCTTCTTTGTTTGACAGGCAGAAGAGGGAGGGGCTGGGACCGAAGCCCCATCTACTCTCCCTCCTCCCCAAAGAGGGGCAGAAGGGTGAGCTCTGAGCCTCAGGCCCTGCATCTCTACCAACCCCAAGGCCCAGCCCAAGCACAAGCTCAAGGGCCCAAGCAGAGCAGACCCTTCCTGCTGCCCTGAGTGACAGGCCAAGCTGTGCTCACACTACTGCTGTGAGAGCACCACTTCTGAGGTTTCAGCCTCCCCCTCACCGCCATCAATCCCGCCTGCTGGGCTGCTGAGGATGGAGGGCCATTTTCGCAGAGTCCTCCGACCAGAGTGGGAGAAAACTCAATACTAAGATTCAGTACTCACTGAGACGGAATGACTCGTGCTGCAGCAGAGAAGGGCCAGGAGCATCTGGTGTGGTTCCCTGTGTCAAATCGTGGTCCAGACAGGGCCGTCATTTAGCTTGTAAGAGCCTCATCATCAAAAGATCACACCAATAATTTCTAAAAACCAACCGATAATTTGGGGCGTATTAGGATAATGTGATGAATCATTTGCACTTCAACTGTTAACTTAGTAAGCAGTTTTGTAATATATACTCCATGTGCATAGAAAATGAAAACGAACTGTAGCTTTGTCTTATATGTTCATTTGGATGCCCTTTCCAGTTGCTAAATACTTTGAATGTCACCCCTACCTTCTTGCAACCTGAACCACCCAGTTCATGGGTTTACACTTGGCCCTGAGATTACCAATAACCACACTCCACAATCTGTCTTTTGCTTCCGCTCTTGGACTCCCAGGCCCATCCTTTCAGCTCACTCCCAAGAGCCCCTGACTCTAACAACTCTCTGACCAGCCCACCCCACCCCACCCCCCCAGCTGCCAATGTATTGACGCCCATCTTTCCACTGCCCTGTTTACCCAGCTTCGGGCCTGTCCGTTTTCATAATCACTCCCTCCCCTTCTTGCACTCTCCTCACAGACCCCCGTCCTGGTTAAAGACAACCCTCCAGCTAGATAAATTGCAGCGGCATGCTTAAATGTGGCCTGAGAAAACCACAGGATCTCAAGAGGGACCTTGAAGCCATCGACATACATACTTCATGTCTCAAGTCTGGTCCACTCTCCCTTTCTCGTGGAGAAAAATTTGACTCCCTTCCTCCTTCCTTGAATCTCCAACCCTGCCGCCCCTTCTAATTCTCAGTTGATGGTCCTGCTTCCCATTCTATCAATAAAATAGAAGCAACCAGAAGAGAAGTGTCACAAGTTCCCACCATGTCTACCCACATGTGTCTCCTGCCCTCCTGGTGCAGGGAACAGGCCATCATCCACCCCATCAAAGGCCACCCTTGTACTTGTGTCCTGGACCTCATCCCCCCTCACATTGCTTATACATTGCTCCCTCCTTTTTCTGGGCCAATTCTTTCTTCTGCTGGAACATTCTCACCAGCATCACTCGTGCCTTAACATCTCCCCCAACACAAAATAGCCAGCAGGGTGGTAGATATCTCACTGGGAGGTAGAGGGAAGGAGGCAACAAAGGATGTGGTGGGGGCTCAGGCAGCCAGACCAGCACGTGCAAAGATCCTGTGGTAGGAAGGAGCATGCAAGAAGGAAGGCCCAGATAGCATGTGCACAGAGAGGGGAGGACAGAGGCTGCTGAGCTTTCTCCTGAGAGCACAGAGAAGCTATTGTGTATTTTAAGCTGGAGATGGCCTGATCAGATTGGCATTTTCCAAGGACCAGTCTGATAACTCTGTAGAGTGGGATAAGAGTGGATGCAAAATGACCAGTGGGGAACTTATTGCAGTCCTCCAGGGAAGCAGGGAAGGTGGTCTGGCAGTGGGTGATACTGTCGATGGAAAGCAATCAATGAGTTTGAGAGATACTGAGAAGCTAATACAGCAGGATGTCATGAACCTGCAGTGAGGAGGAGGAGATGTCAGCGATGATGGCTGGGCTCAAACTTGCACCAGGAAGCAATGGAGAGGTATTCGCTGAGCTAGTTGGTGCCTCCGGAAGACCAGGCTTGAGGGAAAGATCATAGTTCAGGTTTGGACCTGCTGAGCATACGATACCTTTAAGACATCCACCAGGAGACATCAAATAAGCAGTTGACTATCCAGGTCTGGACCTCCCAGGAGAGGTCCATGCAGCTGATTATTTCACACAGCCTCTCTTCGCCTAACAAGCCCAACAAGCATCTCTTCGCCCTTCTTCTGTGCTCAGCACTGTGCTAGGAGCCAACAGTCAGTCCAAAGATGGCTGAGGCACAGGCCTGTGCAGAGGGCAGCCAGGCTGCGTGGGGAGCAGATGCGGCCATGCACCCTTACAAGAGGGGTGTGGAGGCTCCGCCTGCGAGCCCTTGGCTTGGGGTTGAGCACTGTCCCCCATCTGTTAGGAGACTTGGGGCATGTCAGGACCATTCTCCACACCTCACCTCCTGCCGGCTTCTTTATAAAGAAAGATGCCTGGCCTAGAGTTGGCGCTGATGAAATATTTGTCAGATTGAATTGAGAGAAAATGAAAGTGCTTTGCAAAATGCTTTTCAAACACACTGATTTGTAATTTTAACACTAGGGAGGATAGTATATCCTCTTAGCAGCTGGTATAGAAACACTTCTCAGGAGAGAGGGGGATGTGGTTGGAAAGGGGGAGAAACTGCTGGGGGGTTTGAGGCCTCCTGTTAACCATGTGTACGCCATAAGTGTCTATAGATGCAAGCAGTGGACCTTTTTTAATTAAATTCAAAATATCGTGGCAGTTAACTGGTTAATGAACCAAGATGCACGAGGGCGGGGCAGGTGTGCTCCAAGGACAGAGAAGCGGGGAGACAACAGGTCCGGGAGAAGGGAGCAAGGAGAGGGACTGCCCAGACACTCAGAGAGGAGACCTGCCCTTGGGAGCATTTGGGTGAAACTCTGTGCTCTTGGGACCCTACAAAGCTTCCGTCAAGTTGCCAGAAATCTCGAAATGCTTTAGGGCAGTGGTTCTCAACCTTCCTAATGCCGTGACCCTTTAATACAGTTCCTCATGTTGTGGTGACCCGCAACCATAAAATTATTTTCGTTGCTACTTCATAACTGTAATTTTGCTACTGTTATGAATCGTAATGTAAATATCTGATACGCAGGATGTATTTTCATTGTTACAAATTGAACATAATTAAAGCATAGTGATTAATCACAAAAACAATATGTAATTATATATGTGTTTTCTGATGGTCTTAGGCGACACCTGTGAAAGGGTCGTTCAATCCCCAAAGGGGTCTCGACCCACAGTTTGAGAACCGCTGCTTTAGGGAATGGTTTTTCTTGCAGAAGTTGGGAAAGGAGGTGAATTTGGTACAGAGACAGTGAATGGGAGGTGAGGAGGGTCAACCATATAACAATAGCTAGAAATACATAAAATGCTTATTTCATGTAAGTATACCGGTGTCCTGTAGATGCGGGTGTATGTAATATACACGGGTCTGTGTTACAATGCTTTAAAATTCATAACCAATTTCCACAGCATACAATAAAGCCTTCTTTATGGGATGTGCCACTCAGAGTTCTCTAGGAAAATAAATTGCTAGCATGTACTGAGGACTTATTAATTAGGTTATATTAGCTACTGTCACAGAAAAATCCCCAATGTCAGTGGCTGAATATAGTCCAAATCCATTTCTCTCTCACAGCAATGCCCTCGAGCACGTTCACTAATGTGCCAGGCGCTGTTCTGAGCACTTTATACATGTCAGCTCATCTAATCCCCATGACTAGCTGTGAAGGCAGAATTCCTATGATCTCTACTTTCAGGTGAGGAAACTGAGGCATGTCAGTGAGGCTGAACCTGCCTCTCACCCCTGCACCTTATCTCCCAGACTCTCACCCCTACACCTTATCTATCTCCCAGCCTCTCACCCCTACACCTTATCTATCTCCCAGCCTCTCACCTACACCTTACCTATCTCCCAGCCTCTCACCCCTGCACCTTACCTATCCCAGCCTCTCACCCCTACACCTTATCTACCTCTCAGCCTCTCACCCCTACACCTTATCTCCCAGCCTCTCACCCCTACACCTTATCTATCTCCCAGCCTCTCACCCCTGCACCGTATCTCCAGCCTCTCACCCCTACACCGTATCTCCCAGCCTTCTAACCCCTGCACCGTATCTCCAGCCTCTCACCCCTGCACCTATCTCCCAGCCTCTCACCCCTCCACCGTATCTCCCAGCCCCTCACCCCTGCACCATATCTCCCAGCCTCTCACCCCTGCACCGTATCTCCCAGCCCTCTCACCCCTGCACCGTATCTCCAGCCCGCTCACCCCTGCACCGTATCTCCTCTCCCAGCCTCTCACCCCTGCACCGTATCTCCCAGCCTCTCACCCCTGCACCGTATCTCCCAGCCTCTCACCCCTGCACCGTATCTCCCAGCCTCTCACCCCTGCACCGTATCTCCCAGCCTCTCACCCCTACACCTTATCTCCCAGCCTCTCACTCCTTCACCTTATCTATCTCCCAGCCTCTCACCCCTTCACCTTATCTATCTCCCAGCCTCTCACCCCTGTACCGTATCTCGCAGCCTCTCACCCCTACACCGTATCTATCTCCCAGCCTCTCACCCCTTCACCTTATCTATCTCCCAGCCTCTCACCCCTGCACCATATCTCCCAGCCTCTCACCCCTACACCGTATCTCCCAGCTCTCACCCCTGCACCGTATCTCCCAGCCTCTCACCCCTACACCGTATCTCCCAGCCTCTCACCCCTACACCGCATCTCCCAGCCTCTCACCCCTACACCATATCTCCCAGCCTCTCACCCCTACACCTTATCTATCTCCCAGCCTCTCACCCCTGCACCATATCTCCCAGCTTCTCACCCCTGCACCGTATCTCCCAGCCTCTCACCCCTACACCGTATCTCCCAGCCTCTCACCCCTGCACCGTATCTCCCAGCCTCTCACCCCTACACCGTATCTCCCAGCCTCTCACCCCTACACCTTATCTCCCAGCCTCTCACCCCTGCACCGTATCTCCCAGCCTCTCACCCCTACACCTTATCTCCCAGCCTCTCACCCCTACACCTTATCTATCTCCCAGCCTCTCACCCCTGCACCATATCTCCCAGCCTCTCACCCCTGCACCGTATCTCCCAGCCTCTCACCCCTGCACCGTATCTCCCAGCCTCTCACCCCTGCACCGTATCTCCCAGCCTCTCACCCTGCACCGTATCTCCCAGCCTCTCACCCCTGCACCGTATCTCCCAGCCTCTCACCCCTGCACCGTATCTCCCAGCCTCTCACCCCTACACCTTATCTCCCAGCCTCTCACCCCTTCACCTTATCTATCTCCCAGCCTCTCACCCCTTCACCTTATCTATCTCCCAGCCTCTCACCCCTGTACCGTATCTCGCAGCCTCTCACCCTTTCACCTTATCTATCTCCCAGCCTCTCACCCCTGTACCGTATCTCCCAGCCTCTCACCCCTACACCATATCTCCCAGCATAGGGAAAGTTAGCCAACACTTGTTGTACCTATGCTGGGGCTGGGGACACAGAAGTCCCTGCTGTCATGAAGTGGACATGGTTGTATATTCTGTTCTGCGCATCTGTCTTTATGGAGATTGCATTGCAGTTCACTCGTTCACTTAGTGACTGTTGGTGGCGCCTGCTGTGGCACTGGGCTGGGGTTTTCACCGGAGCCAGTTCTCACCTTCTCACTGAGCAAATATTTAGTCAAAAGCCCTGATTCCATCATTTCCTGGCACAAGTGCTTATTAATTTAGCCTCCCTGAGCCTCAGTTTCTTCATCTGTAAAATGGGGATGAAAATACCCCCTCAGAGGCCTGTGGTAGAGCAGAATGAGTCTAGTCCAAAAGCCTGGCAGAGGGCCCAGCTTCCCCCCACCCCCACCCCCACCCCCGTGGGGGCTCACCCGCTGGATTTCAGAGCTGTTGGTGGCCGGGTGCAGTGAATTTCATGCCCTGCAGATGGGATGGCGCTTTGCAAGTTTATCCAAAGTGCTGTGGGAATGTTTGTCAGCATCAGTTTAGGGTTTGTCTTCTTTGGAAAGCTATCTGCTTTCTCTCCTGCAAACTGTGGGGTGACTGTGGGGGAGCTAGGGCACAGAGGTGACCACACCGGTTCATCATTCATGGCTTCCTCTGTGGCAGTCCCCAGCCCCGAATCAAACCTCCACCACCCGCCAAGCTTCAGCTAATCCTCAGAGGCCTCCATGGACGGCTGGGTTTTGAAGTCTTAGGCCTTAGATCCTCTCCCCAGCACTGCGTGTTTTGATTCACCCGGAGGATGTCCACACAGACAAAGCAATACCTCCCTTCCAGAGTGAGGGAGAGGCTGGGCCAGCTTCAGAAGACGCCAGCGGTCTGAACCCCAGAAACTATGATGTCTCATGTGTCCTTTCTCCTCTTGTTTTCCAGGGAACTTCAAAGGTCTCTGCAAGCAAATTGATCACTTCCCAGAGGATACAGATTATGAAGCTGACACAGCAGAATATTTCCTCCGTGAGTGCAAGCCATTTCTATCTCCTTCATGGGGATGGGTTCTGCCCTCCAGCCTTTAGAGCAACGGTTCTCAACCTTCCTAATGACGAGACCCTTTAATACAGTTCCTCATGTTGTGGTGACCCCCAATTTCATTGTTACAAATTGAACATAATTAAAGGGTAGTGATTAATCACAAAAACAATACGTAATTATATATGTGTTTTCCGGTGGTCTTAGGCGACCCCAGTGAAAGGGTCGTTCGACCCCCAAAGGGGTCGCGACCCACAGGTTGAGAACCGCTGCTTTAGAGCACAAATACCAGGACTATCTAGAGGTCCCTGTCTCAGCAGAGGGCCTGCCTCCTTCCCTCCTGTCCGGAGACCAAACCTTCATGTATGCTGTTCCCTCTGCCTGCAGCACCTTACCCTCCCTTCTTTGTCTGACAAACTCCAACTTACCCACCAGGTCTCAGCTGAAACATCACCTGTTCCAGGAAGTCCTCCATGCCCCCTGAACAGATTCCCAGAGCACAGCACTTTCATTAAGCTATAGAGTCTTGTCTGTTTGAGCAACCATCTCCCTCACTGTCCTACCAATGCTACTAGCCAGAGTTCTTCCCATCTTGTTTGCATTATATGTTTAGCCCAGGGCCCTCAGTAAATATTTCTTAAATAACTGAATGAAGACACTCATCTGGGCAGTGCCAGATTAGAACTTCTACTGAAACATTGTGAGATTTTTATTTTCTTTCCCCACAAGTCAAGTCAAAGTTAAATCCTGATGTAATAGCTGCAATCTTAAGTCCACCTGACACATATTAGCAAGAGAAAGCCTTTGAGTCCCCAAAAAAGGTTCTCAAGAATCGGCAAAAACTAACAAGATGAAATGTTCCCTGAGAAATGGATTTCCAGGAGAGGGGCTGAGGGTCCTTGACACCGGGGATAGCAAAGCCACTGAGCAGAAGTGGCTGAAGGCTCGGCTGGGGCTCTTGGGCCTGCCTTCCCACCATCCTTCCTCCCAGGAACTGCCCCGCTCCACCCCTCCCCTGAGGCAGAGGGGTTAGCATTACTCTCAGATTACTTTTATGAAAAATGTAGGAGGCATTTTATTTTATGGATCACCCATCTCTTTCAATAATTACTCCTCACATCAAAGCCAATCTCAGGTCAGCCTGGAATTGGGTTTTGCTGAGAAGCCACAGAACATGACGTCAGCCAGGCAGCTGGGAAGAGGAAGGAAGGGAACATGATGCAATTTATAGATTTCTTTTTAAATGAGGGAGAATATCTTACAATGCTCGTCATTTATTTTTATGAAGTCCTGCAAGATGCTGCTCATAAATGGAATTCCTGAAGGGCCATTTGGTTGTGTTCCCTGTTATCATGTCTGGGGCCCCCGAAGGAGTCTGGCGATAGTGAGAAGGCTGATTGAACACCGCCCATGTGCTAATCCTGTGCTCAGGACTGAGGAGATCCAAAGGAATGAATGAGACAGGCTGTGGCCCTGGGGAGATCACGTTGGGAGGACCCTCAGGGAAATAGCTGGACTGGGAGACCCGCATGCAGAGATGCATCCTGCACACAGAGGTGGAAGGGGGCAAAGCTGAGCCCCACAGCACAGCCCCAATGGTCGAGCATGGCTAGATGCCAAGTGCTTGCAGCAGGAACTCTGTCTCATTCTTTGCTGTGCCTTTAACAGCTTCTGGAATATAGTAGATGCTCCATCAATGCTGCTTGTTAAATAAAGGAAAGCTAATAGGATTCTTCAGTGACTTTCCCTTACCTACTCCATACCTTCATTTCCTAATTCTTAAAGAGAGAAGAGCTTCAAGTGTTGGGTTCATGCTGGTGTCCCTGGACAAAAGACTTGAACATATATTAGCGGCGCAGGGTCCGAGGATCTGAATTGACTAAATGCAACAATATTTTTAAGCATTTAGAATAGGAGGTCGGCAAACTTTTTCTGCAAAAGGACAGATAGTAAATACATTAGGCTTTGCAGACTGTACAATCTGTCCCAACTACTCAACTAACCTTGGAGCACAAAAGAGGCAGAGACAAAACGGAAGGAAATGAAACAACTTTATTTACAGAAACAGACAGCGGCTACATGCAGCGTAGTTTGCTGACCCCTGACCTATAATATGCTGATCTTGGGCTAGACAAGAAAAGTAATTGTTTAACCTGGAAGATGTGAGTTCCTATCATTCTCTGTTAAGCTCTAACCTGGTTGGCGAGAGCATCTAAAAGACAGGGATCATTCTTAAAGGATCCTCTGCCCCAACCTGCACGTCATGATTTGTTACGGATTCTTCTCCCTGCCCCTTGGACCATGAACAGCGACTCCTCTGAGTAGCTGCAAATAGACAGTTTGCTCCACCCCTCACCCAGCTGGAGATGTTTGCTGAATGAGTAAATGAGAACCCACTCTTCTTAGGGCCCCTTGGCACATTCACCCTCTTCCCAGAATGAGGACAGAGGTGGATGCAGGGTCTCAAGCTGAGTCAAAGCCACCCTTCCCAGCCTCAGAGGACCCCCCTCCCTTTTTCCCCTTCTCTGCCCCCCTATGCTGGGCCCAACAGGCACCGAGGGGTCTCCTAGGTACCTCAGCGTGGGAAGTGTGGGGAATACCAGGGATCAAGGTCTGAGCTTGTGATTTAGAGGGAAAGGACCTGAATTCAAGGTGAGGTCTGCTCTGTGGCCTTGGGCACGTTACACAACTTCTCTGAGCCTGGATGAATACCAGTCCCCGGGAGGGACGCGGAGGAGCGATGAGACAAAGGCTAGGATGGTGCTTTGTTAGAGCGTCCCCGCTGCCCATGGAACGTGAGAGAAGTCCATCACCCCGCTTCAGGTTAGAGCAGTGGTCGGCAAACTGCAGCTCGGCAAACCGCGGCTCGCAAGCCACATGCAGCTCTTTGGCCCCTTCAGTGTGGCTCTTCCACAAAATACCAACTTCTGCGCATGGGCCACGAAGTTTCAATCGCACTGTACGTGCGCGCCTGCACGTGGTATTTTGTGGAAGAGCCACACTGAAGGGGCCAAAGAGCCGCATGTGGCTCGCGAGCCGCGGCTTGCCGACCACGGGGTTAGAGGACAGAAGCACAGCGATACACCCTCCGCGCTCCTGAAATGCTGGAGCCGCACACACAACCCCATCCTCCCATTTTCAGATGAGGAAATACCGAGGCCCAGAGGGGTTAAATGGCCTACCCAGCCCTGCACACTACCTGGGATGCCACCTGCCCCCCGGAACGTTAGGCAGGGCCGAGTGCTCCTGTCCACTGTCCGAGCCCTGCAGCCCCTTCTAGCAAAATTGTTCCTAGAGGTCACCATGGCCAGCGTGGCTAAAACTGTGGTGACCGATCCTTGCAGTTAGGGAACCTGCTCAGCTGCAGCTGGTGCTCACATCCATGCAACCAGAGCCTACGTTTCACAACACGGGGCCTGCCCTCCGCCTGCTGTGCACGCGTGGCAATTTCTATTTGGTCCTGGCCCACTCATTCAGGTGCTGGCCGAAGCCACCATGCTGATTACACCAGCTAGTCATGAGTCACAACCTGCACTTGAACTAACACCAGCCCAGGTAAGCGCAGGCCCCCGGGGAACAGCAACAATAAGCTGCTGCGGGGAGAACCAGCATTTCCCAGTGCTCTCAGTACCAGGCACTGTTCTAACTGCTTAAAGTGCGTGTACCCATGACACCACTGCAGCCCTCTGAGCCAGCGTCTGACCCTCTCCCTGCAGCACCTGGGGCAACTGAGGCTCAGGGAGGGCAGGCAGCACAGCGAGGGAGACGGTGCAGGCCGCTCTCTCCCGTCCTGCAGCGGGTCACCAACCCCAGAGACAACAGGAACTGGGAAGGCTCCCAGGACCTGCACAGATGGTGCTCCCGGAGGACGCTCACTGAGCTTCCAAGTTCTGTTCATGTGTCATTACACGCAGCAAACGCTCATTGGATGCCGGCTGTGTCGGGGCCAGGCCTAGCACTTTATGCATTATCTTCATCCATCTGCACGACCACCCCAAGAGGAAAGTACTGCTGGTGTCCCGTCATACAGCTGAGAAAGAGGAGGCACGGAGGCCACAAAGACAGGGGAGGGACGGGGTGGGACCCAAGCGGCCCACACCTGGAGCCCATGCTCCCAACCTCCACTCTCAACTTCTCCCTCTTCTCCTCACCCACCACCTTCTTCGTCCCCTTCCTATTTCTCTTTCTCTCCTCTCCAATAACACCTTCTTTCTCTCTCTCCCACCTCCTCTCCTTCTCCCTTCCTCTCTCCCCTAATCTCCCTCACACACTCTCTCACATACACACACTCTCACATACGCTCTCACACTCACATGCACTCACACTCACATACACTCTCACATACTATCTCACACTCACATGCTCACATACACACACACTCATACTCTCACTCACACACTCACATACACACACACTCATACTCTCACTCACACACTCACATACACACACACTCATACTCTCACACACACACTCACATACACACACTCATACTCTCTCACACCCACACACTCACATACACACACTCTCACATACGCTCTCACACTCACATGCACTCACACTCACATACACTCTCACATACTATCTCACACACTCACACGCTCACATACACACGCACTCATACTCTCACACACACACTCACATACACACACTCATACTCTCACACACACACACTCACACACTCACATACACACACACTCATACTCTCACTCACACACTCACATACACACACACTCATACTCACACACACACACTCACATACACACACTCATACTCTCACACACACACACTCACATACACACACTCTCACATACGCTCTCACACTCACATGCACTCACACTCACATACACTCTCACATACTATCTCACACACTCACACGCTCACATACACACGCACTCATACTCTCACACACACACTCACATACACACACTCATACTCTCTCACACCCACACACTCATACACACACACACACACTCTCACACATTCACACACTCACACACTCACACACATGCACTCATACACGCATTTGCTGCAGCCCCTCCCCTTCCACAGTCACCGGTGACCGCACCTGGCACAGTGTGGAAGGAGGAGAGAGGGAGAGATGCCCAAGAGCCTGGAAGCTCCTCCCAAGCCAGTGTGTCCCCACCCACCCATCGCCGAGTCTTAGTCCACCTCTTCAACACCCCTCAAACCCAGCTCTGCCCATACCCTCTGTGCCCACCCTGGCCAAGCACCATCACTTGTCTGGCCAGCCACAGTAGCTCTCACTGCAATAGCCCTCTCACTGCAATAGCCCTCTCACTGGTTCCCTGTACTCACCTTGGCCTCTTCTTAATCCATGTGTTTTTTTTAATCCTCACCTGAGGATATGTATTTTTTAATATCTTAAGAATCCTTGTGTTCCTTAAGATGCAAATCAGAGTGTGACAGTCCTGCCCGCTTTAAGTCCTTTAATGTTGCCCATTGTTCTGGATAAAGGTAAGCTCTGGATCAGGGGTCCTCACACTACGGCCCGCGGGCCACATGCAAATACAAATATTGTATTTGTTCCCGTTTTGTTTTTTTACTTCAAAATAAGATATGTGCAGTGTGCATAGGAATTTGTTCATAGTTTTTTTTTTAACTATAGTCCGGCCCTCCAGCGGTCTGAGGGACAGTGAACTGGCCCCCTGTTTAAAAAGTTTGAGGACCCCTGCTCTGGAGCATGACCCACAGGACCCTGGTGACCCATGAACCCCTGTGTGGCCTGGCCCCAGTGGCTCCATCTCCCTCAGTGCTTCCCCGGCCCCTCCACCAGCTCCTAGTGATCCAGCTCCTTTCAGTTCCCTGGACAAGCCCTCGCTCATGCTGCTTCCTCTCCCCGGAACACTCTCCACATCCCGCCTCTATTCTGCCAAACTAGCTTCCCCCTATCCATCAGAGGTCAGCTCTAGCATCACTGCCTCTTCTGACCCCCACCTGACTCAGAAGAGGCTCCGAGAGGCATGAAAGCAGGGGAGTGCAGTGGTAGGCACACAGAGCCTAGAGGCAGACTGCGTGGGTTCATACACCCAGGTCCCCCATGTCTCTGCTGGGTGGCCTTGGACAAATGGCTACACTCAATGAACATTAGCTTGTCCCATGCCTTCATGGTGCCATACGGCATCTTTATTTCATAACACTGTCCTAGTTGATACCATTTATCTGTGTTATTATCTGACATATATCTTCTCCATGAGATCTTATAAAGACATGGACCGGGCCTGTTTTGCATTCCTCTGTCTTCATGCCTAGCCTGGAACCTGGCACAGTGGCCAGCACTCAGCCTGTATTTATTCACTGGACTTCCAGTTGTCAAGAGCAATGAATCTCCCTGCTCGAGACTTTGCAGCCTTTATTAGGGTCTCAGCCAGGGGTGGCTGAACTGCAACTAGCAGGCCAAATCTGGCTCACCAACTGTTTTTATAAAGTTTTATTAGAACACAACCACACTCGTTTGTTTACATACTGTCTATGGCTATTTTCATGCTACCATAGCAAAGTTGAGTAGTTGCAACAGAGACTGTATGACCAGCAAAGCCAGAAATACTTATTATCTGTTCTTTTATAGAAAAAGGTTGCCACCACCTGTTTTTGGAATGTGGAATCTCCTCAAAGCCAAGGCCCATGGTTTCATGGGGCTGGTATGAGGTTTAGATGGGTTAACCCATGGAAAGCACTTAGAAGAGGGAGGGCCTAGCACATAGGAAGAGGTCCCTAAATATTAGTAGCTATTGTGTAGTTCCATATACTCACAGGTCAATAAATACTTGTTCATGGAGAAAATCAGATATTTTCTGATAGATTTTAGCACTAAGACCACACCAGCTTCAGGGAAAGTCAAGACAATTCATGGCGAAGTTGTGACTGGACTGAAGGGGAAGGGGCATCAGAAATTACAACAATGCTATCTTTTACTGTATTCCTTGTAGTGTCAGAAACAATGCAGATATTATCCAGTTTAATCCTTATGAACTGTTGTGCACATACAAGTCTTGTTATGAAGGTCTTGTTAACATGTACATTCTGGTTCAGTAGGTAGGTCAGGTGGGGCCTGAGAACCTGCATTTCTAGCCAGCTCCCCATGAGGTCTGTGCTGCTGCTCAGACTACCCTTTGAGCGCAGGGCCTTACAACATACCTGTGAGCTGGATATTATTATTGCTCTTCCCACTTTACGGAATGGGGAAGCTGAGACTCAGCGAGGTAAAGACATGTCCAAGGTCACACAGACATTTGAACTTCGGTGAGACTAACTGCATAATCCCCATTCTGACTCACTAGCTGGATGGGCTTGGGCAACTTACTTCACCTCTCTGAACCTCGGTTTTCTCATCTATCAACTGGAGCTAAAAAACACACATGAAGGGCTATTATATCATGTATGTTAGGTACCCGCTCAAGACCCAACAAACATTCTCTCTCTCCTGGGTCTTCAAGAAGCTCTCACCAGCCCTGTGCGCTTATGAAGATGAGAATGCAGGTAGCTCTGACTGTGCGCATCTGAGCATGCATGTGTGTGTGTGCAGATGTGTGGGCTGAGGTTCAGGTTGGGGATACAGCACCTTATCTTATAAACAACTTGCAGGGAGAGGACACCCAGGTTTGGGAAGCAGGTACTTCCATCCCTGCCTGGGGGCAGAGGGGAAAGAGTGCTGAGAATGCAGAGTAACCCAGCTGTCCCCCACCCCTTGCCCTCTTCCTCTCACCCAGCTAGGGTTCACCCCACGCATGCCCACCTGGATACTACCATTCATGAAATGTTTACTGTATGCCCTCAAAGACTAATCTAGGTGCATTGTCAGAATCAACTCATTTAATCCTCACAACAACCTTAGGAGGCAGGCACTATTACTGTCCCCATTTTACAGATGAGGAAACTGAGGCACAGGGAGGTGAGATAATTTACCCAAACTTACACAGCTAATAAATGCTAAAGCCAGATTCAAATCCAGGTCATGTGATTTCCTGGCCACTATAATGTACTGCCTCTCAATGTACCCCAAATACCCCAAAAAAGAGCAAAAGAAAGACCTAAAAACTTTGCCTAAGGTTGTCAGTGAAGGTTTCACAGACAAGGGAATTTTAAGTTAGGTTTTGATGGATGAATAGAAGTTTACTGAGTTAAAAAGAGCAGGAAGCCCTAACTGGTTTGGCTCAGTGGATAGAGCATCGGCCTGCGGACTGAAGGGTCCCAGGTTCGATTCCGGTCAGGGGCATGTACCTTGGTTGCAGGCACATCCCCTGTAGGGGGTGTGCAGGAGGCAGCTGATCGATGCTTCTCTCTCATCAATGTTTCTAACTCTCTATCCCTCTCCCTTCCTCTCTGTAAAAAATCAATAAAATATATATTTTTTTTAAAAGGGCAGGAAAAATACTCTAATAGAAAAGCTCAGTATGTCAAAGTCAGAGGCATACAATGACATAATATGGGAAGTTTGCTGTTGCTGGACAAGAGGGAACACAGGCAGAGGCCAAGTCACACGGGGCCCTACGGGCCTCAAGGGGCACTGGAGTTGGGGCCTATAGGCAGAGATGAGCCCCTGCAGGGCTGTGAGCTGATACGGGGGGTGGTCCTCCCTGGTATTGCTAAGCAACCTCGGCTTGGGTCCTGTGTCCATAACCCCATTCCTGTGTGTCGCTGTCTCCTCCCTCCGCCATGCTCAGCCTCACAGCCATGTTCTTTCTCTCCCTGACCCTCCATGTTCTGCAGGGGCCGTGAGGGCCTCAAGCATCTTCCCGATCCTGAGTGTGATTCTACTTTTCATGGGTGGACTCTGCATCGCAGCCAGCGAGTTCTACAAGACTCGACACAACATCATCCTGAGTGCTGGCATCTTCTTCGTGTCTGCAGGTAATGACCACTGAGCTAGCAGGCAGAGCCCAGGCCCGCCAGTGGGGAGAAGGCTGAGGTTTGGGTGCTCACTGGCTGGGAGGACCTGACCAGAGAGGAGAAGAGGGAGGAAAGGAATCTCTGGGCTTTGCAACAGGTCGTATTGAGGGGAAGGCAGGTTGTGCTGGGGCTCCTGCCTGACACCCCTCCTCGCACTGATTCCAGGAATATCCCACACCCTGTCCCTTAGCCCAATGGCCCACCTTCCTCCCGCCTCTTAGAAAAGGGCCCAAATCCCAAAGAGCAGAGGAAGGACCTAAACACTTTGCTGAAGGATGTCAGTGAAGGTTTCACAGACAAGGGAATTTTAAGTTAGGCCCTCCCAGGGTACTGGGCCTACCCTCCGTTGCCCTCTCCCCTCCCTACACTACCTCAGTGGAAGCAGGCGGGCAACCAAAGCCACATTTCTCAGCCCGGTTACATGACAAGTCACATTTGCTTCCAATTCCAGAAAAACGGACATGGGCTGTAGCATGAGCCACCTAATAAGAATGACTAGCGTTTGAGTAGCACTTACCAAGTCCCAGACTCCCACAGCTTTCATATGTATCAATTCACCTAATCCTCTCCATGGCCCTGCAAGGCAAGTCCTATCATTATCCCCATTCCACAGGCCTGGAAACTCAGACCAAGGTTACCTGGCCAAAGGCTTTGAATCCAGGTAGTCTGGCTCCAGGCACCAGTCCTAACTCCCTGCCACACCAGCTTCAAATCCCAGGGCAGCCTGGAGCAAGTTACCTAACTTCTCTGTGATCCAGTTCCTCCTTTGCAAACCCCTGGAAAAGCACTTAGCAGTGAAGGCAGGTGGTAAATGCTCAATAAACAATGTCTGTTATTATTATTGTTACTCAATAATACTCGAATGCCTCTCCTCCCCCTCCTCCATATCTGCTTCCATTAGTTCTTTCCTTTGTAGCTCCCTACAAATGAAATGATAAAGGTGATGCTTTCCAACATCCCTGTATGCTCGCCTCTCCATGCACTGTGAAAATGAAGGCCCATCCAACTGTCCTTGCCCCCCCCCCTTTTTAATGTTTTTATTTATTTTAGAGAGAGAGGAATGGAGAGGGAGGGAGAGAAGAGAGAAAAAATATCCATTGCCTGACTCCTGCACACCCCCTACGGGGGATCCAGCCCTTAACCCAGGCATGTGCCCTGACAGGGAATCCAACCAGCAACCTTTGTGCACAGCAAGGTGCTCAACCAACTGAGCCACACCAGCCAGGGCAACCGTCCATGTTCTTTAATCCTGCTCAAGTGCCTGGCATTCTGCTTGGAAATTAACATCCTTCTCTCTGATTCTGCCCCGCCCCCTCCATGTCCACCCTGTGCCCCACAGGTCTGAGTAACATCATTGGCATCATAGTGTACATATCTGCCAATGCCGGAGACCCCTCCAAGAGCGACTCCAAAAAGAATAGTTACTCGTATGGCTGGTCCTTCTACTTCGGGGCCCTGTCCTTCATCATTGCCGAGATGGTCGGTGTGCTGGCCGTGCACATGTTTATCGACCGGCACAAACAGCTGCGGGCCACGGCCCGCGCCACGGACTACCTCCAGGCCTCCGCCATCACCCGCATCCCCAGCTACCGCTACCGCTATCAGCGCCGCAGCCGCTCCAGCTCCCGCTCCACCGAGCCCTCACACTCCAGGGACGCCTCCCCCGTGGGCCTCAAGGGCTTCAACACCTTGCCGTCCACGGAGATCTCTATGTACACCCTCAGCAGGGACCCCCTGAAGGCCACCACCACGCCCACCGCCACCTACAACTCCGACAGGGATAACAGCTTCCTCCAAGTTCACAACTGTATCCAGAAGGAAAACAAAGACTCTCTCCACTCGAACACAGCCAACCGCCGGACCACCCCCGTATGAAGCCACGGGGCCCTCGCTAGCGCCTGCCCTGCCGGGTCCCAGGCAGAGCCCGAGAGTGGGGGCACGGCCCGGCCCGTGGAGTGGGCCTGGGGGTAGGGGAGGGTGGGGGAAACCAAACCATCCACTGGGGGGGAAACCTTCCCAAAGCAAAAAAAAACACAAAAAAAAACACACAAAAAAAGAGAAAAACATAAGTAAATTTAAAAAAAAAGAACAAAATATAAGAGGAACAAAGAAGCCAAACAACAGAAAATGTGAAAAACACATTAATGAGGGAAGAAAAACAAACTTTAAAAACAGCGAGAGGATAAAAATTAAAAATAGAAAATAAATCTAAAAGAAAATGCATGATTTCCCATGTACCATTATTTTAACATTTAATAAAAACCAATTTAAATGAAAAAAATAAAAGGGAACTAAGATAACATTAAGCAAAAAATTGAGAAGGAACAGAAAGGAAGGGAGATGTTCTTTGCATTTAATCAGGGCTTTCCGTTACTTGCTTGTTTGTTTTTTTAAGCTCTGGGAGAGTTACTTTTCTGTTCCCTTTAACCCCAAGAGGGCTCTGCTCCCCCTGGGTGAGTGGGGGTGGAGACTCAGAGGCCCCGGGGCCAGGTGAGCCTCTTGGTCACTGCCAGGTCCCTGGAGCCTCTGGATGGGTGCCCCAGGAATGCTGGGCAAGCTCCTGGCTTGCGAGTCCACTCCACCCAGCATCAATGGGGCAGTTATAGGCCTCCAGGTGACCCAAGAGTCCTTGGTCCCTCCTGTCCGAAAGGTGCCTGGAGGGGGGCACACTTGGGGCTTGCCCAGCCCCCAGGTTCCCAGTCCTTAATGGTCCTTAACCCACTGTGATGACTTCCTAGGCCTTGAGGGAAAGGAAGAAGAGGGATGGCTGCCGGCGGCTTGCTGAGATGCCCAGAAACCCCGGAATCCTCAGGGTGAGCCTCTTGGGGTCAAAACCCCAAGATCCTGTCCTTGGGGGCAGGAAATCCCACCCCCACCCCCGGGGATATAAAGCAGCTCTCCCTCCTCACCCCTCACCTCAGGGCCATCCAATGGCCCTGGGGCGATGGTGGACCCCTAGACTCATAGGCCCGCAGTCCCCTGGGAAGGGGGCTCACTGACCCTTTGGGGGTCCTTGGACTCACTGAAGCCCCCTTGGGGTACAGTGGGTCCAACAATGAAATTGCAAAAAGGTTTCTTTTTACAAAAGAAAAAGGAAAAACAAGTGGTGATTTTTTTTTAATAAAAAAAACCACAGACTATAAATAAATGTAAATATATAATACGTGGATTTACTCGAAAGAAAATCAGATAGTATTTTTCTTTTAATTCTTTTCCAGCTTTAAACTGTGAAAACAAAAAAAATGGGGTGGGTGGGGGACTTAAAATTTAGCAGGGAACTTGTAAAGAGAAAAACAAAACAAATATACAAATCCATTTTTTAAAAAATACTATTGTGAGAGATTAGAGCTGGGCTTAAAGCAGGAGGGAGAGACAAGAAGCCCTAGGGAGCTGCAGGGAGTTCCTGTCACGAAAGATCTCTTCCTTAGACCAGAAAGGCGCTGCTACTGTCGGAGAGAGAGAACCACGATGGAGAATCCTCTCTTCATGAAGGAGATCGCACAACACACACACACACACACACACACACACACACACACACACACAGTCCTTGAAGCCCAAGGCTAGAATCACTCATGGGGATACACATGCCATCTAAACCCTTCCATCCCATATACAGGCAGAGGGAGGGTCCAGAGAAGATGACTCATGCCATCCAAAGCCATGGACAGCAGCTCCACACTGGCATGTATGCTCACAGTGCCCTCCCACCACACACATGCACATCACTTGCCTGCATGGAAAGGGCACCAGTCTAGAATCCAGCTTTGAATTCTGAAAACCCTTGCTGTGTGACCTCTCTGGGCCTCAGTTTCCCCTGTGTGATAAGCATGTGGATTGACCCAGATGAGCTCTGAAGGCTCATTCTTATTCTTGGCGCTGATGACTTTTAAAAAGATATGCCACCTGCCCAGAGGAAGATGCCAGAGACAACCAAAATAGCTGCCATCCAGCCCCAAAACATTGAGAACATTTCTGAATTATCGGTCAGCTGTTCAGACACACACACACACACACACACACACACACACACACACACACCATAAGCCTCCTCACTGTGCTCCCAACCCCCTGCCCCCACATCCAACGTCAAAGCAAAAATTACACACACGTGAGCAAACGTATCCTGCCATTCAGACAGAGAGGGAAAAGGCACCAGAGGTCCCCAAAGCCACTCTTCATTCTGTGTCCCCTTTAATGCCATAACCCAGTCAGAGAAAGGGGAGGGGGCTTCCTTGTGAGAAGACATCAGCCACCATGCTTCCCCCACTGTCTTTAGGGGTCAGAGAAAAAGAGGATCCTCCAAGGCTTGCTGGGAGTGGCGGAGGGCAGGAGATGCAGAGGAGAGCTTTATAAAGTTTGGCCCCAGGGTGAGGACCAACCTCAAAAGTTAAACTTACACCACAGACTAAAGTCTGCAGCATCCCGGGTTGCTCCCCTTTCTTCCCAGACGGACAGGGGCCAGTTCAGAGAAACCCAACAGCTTTGTAAAGCTTGGATTTCAGCCCAGCCTGCTGGAGGTGGGGGGCCCAGCTGCCCCCATCTGCATGTCTCGGTTTGCCTCTTTCTTGACACTGCCCTGGCCTGAAGTTTCTTAAGGTGAGCTCTGGGAGGTGAGGGGAGTGGCTAGCAAGGCTTTTGGGGTTTCCACACTCCCAGCTCCCCTTCCCATCTTTTGTCTGGGAAAGGAAAACTCTGTTCTTAGGTCAGCAGCATCTGGAACCCTAAATTCAGCCTGAACCACAAGGCAGATCTGCAGGCCCAACCCAGCAGTTCCCGGGAGGCCCCCGGACCCCAGGGCAGAGCAATGGGGGCCAGTACCAGGTGTGGCGACCACCCAGTGTTTCCAGTCTGGGCAGAAATCACGACCACTCCCTCCCCACTCCAGCCTGGCCCTCCACCCCACCAGATTCCACACCGGAAAGGCTCGAGGAATGGAGAGAACAGTGGGGCCCACCAACGACAACAAACGAGCCGGCGCTGTCCGGAGCAGACAGCTGGCCCCAATTTGTTGTGGCCGAGTGTCCGGGACGGAAATCAGTGCTTCTCTCCAGGCCGGGAGGCCAGGGTCCTGGGTCCTCTGGAAGAAGGCCATTGGGTGTGGGTGAACCCAGCTGGGCTGAGAAAGGGCTGGGGGCCCAGAGGGAAGAAGCCAGGACTGGGATGGCAAGGGCACTGCTTGCCAGGGTGGATGATTGCTCATGTCCAGCTCAAACCAGTTCAAGAAACCAACCTCCATTTTATTTTCTTGGTGGGTCCTTTTTTTTTTCCAGACTGTTAACAGAAAAAAATTTTAAAAAGCAGAAAACTAAAAAAAGAAAAAAATCCTGGTACATGAAATAAAGATTTTTTTTATAGCTTGGTCCTCACTTCAGTGGATTTCTTTCATTGCTTTCTCAACTCCTAGCATCCCATTTCAAACAATCGCAAAGGCAGAGATTCTCAGAGATGAGGGATGGGAGGCTGAGAAGCCATGCAGTAGTGTCCCCACGGGAGTGTCAGGGGATGCGTCCTTTCATAAATATCCCTTGCCGATAATTGCACTCCTCCATGACGGGGGGCTCACCCCAGCCCGGCTGGACAGCACTCACTGGTGAAAGTCTCCTCTGCACAATGAATTGCAACCCACTCTTCCTTGAAATCCAGCAATGCTGAGAGTTCCTTCCCTTTGCAGCACAACAGTTCCTCAGAAGATTGTGAGCGTGATGTCCTTGAGTTCTCTGCCTAAAATAAACCAGTGACAGTCCAGGGTTTCAATTTTTCCTATGAAAGGGTGCAGCCTGGAGTGGACACAATACTCAGAGGGACACAAAACACAGTCCCCTCCAAGACGAATGGGAGGATTTTGGAAGGGACCCTGGGACTCTCCTGACGTGAAGAGATGGGAAAGGCAAGATGGGATGTGTTCTATTTGGCTCAGGCTGCTATCACAAAACACCACCGGCTGCATGGCTCAAACATCAGACATTTATTTCTGCAGTTCTGAAGGCTGGGAAGTCAGTCTAACATCAAGGTGCCAAAGGATAGGCTTCTGGTGAGAACTCTCTTCCTGGCTTGCAGATGGCGCCTTGTCTCAGAGAGAGAGAGGAGTTCTGGGCTTCCTCTCTCTTCTTATAAGAACACCAATCCCCTCACGGAGTCCCACCCTCGTGACCTCATTTAACTACATCTCCCAAAGGCCCCACCTCTAAATACTACCACAGTGGGAGTCAGGGCTCCAACATATGTATTCTGGGGGGAACACAGAAATTCAGGCCATAAAAGGATGCTAACAGGAGAATTTGACCCTTGACCGTGAAGAAAGGCCCCACTGAAGGCAGCCCAACAGCTATCCCCCCACTGTCCAGCCCTATTTGGAGGATGGCTGTACATGCCTCCCAAAGGCATTAAACACATTTAATTTAGTTCATTTTAACTTTAAAAAACTGTCATACACTTAAGATGGGAGGAAGGTATTTAAAAATCAAATCAAGACTTTAAAAGCAAACAGAAAAGTACTTGTCTGTTGGAAAATTGTACCTCTTTGCCCACCTTCCCATCACGACGCTTACTGAATTTATTATCCTTGACTCAGAGATGAGGTATAAACTCACAACCAATCCATGAGAAATAGGAAAAAGAAAAGCTGATCAAAGCCAGTTTAAAATGAAAACATTATGATAAATTGCTCTGAAAAGAGAAAAAAAAAAAAGCTTCATTTTGTCCTACTGACACCTCTCATCGTAGATTTTTTTTTAATTTAATGTTTTTATTGATTTCAGAGAGGAAGGGAGAGGGAGAGAGAGATAGCAACATCAATGATGAGAGGGAATCATTGATTGGCTGCCTCCTGCACGCCCCCTACAGGGGATCGAGCCCGCAACCTGGGCATGTGCCCTTGGCTGGAATAGAACCCAGGACTCTTCAGTCCACAGGCAGACACACTATCCACTGAGCCAAAGTGGCTAGGGCCATA